CGTGTTTGTTGTGTTGATTATTGTTATTTTTCACACTTCAAAGGTCGTACTGGTCCTGGTGTCTGCTTTCGCCTTTATTCTGAAAATGATTACCACGCGTTCTCTCAGTACGCCACGCCCGAGATTCAACGTACGCCGTTAGATTCCACTATCTTACAGATGGTAGCACTAGGAATCAATGATGTGCGTTCTTTTGCATTCATTGAACCACCTCCTTCTTCAAGCATTGAAAACTCCGTCTTCACTTTGAAGCAGCAAGGAGCGCTAACCGAGGATGAGGCCTTGACTCCTATTGGTCAGATGTTGTCTCGCCTTCCTGTAGATGTGGTTATTGGTAAGATGCTTCTAATGGGGTCTGTCTTTCATTTGACTGACCCTGTCATGATCATAGCTGCTGGACTTAGTGTCCAGTCTCCCTACACCAGGCGCTTRGATCACGACCCGGATGTGACGTCACTACGAGAAGAACTGGAATCTGATCATGGCGACCCGTTTACTTTATTGAATGCTTATGATGAGTGGATCCAGGTGAGTTTGAAGTCGATGTATAGCTAAAGAATATCAAGAAGTATCATATAAAGAGTTAGTTTTAACTTCATTGAGGTATGGTTTTTCAGGTCAAAAGTCGCCATGGTTACCAGTCAAGGAAGTGGTGTAAAAGGCGTGGTCTGGAGGAACAAAGATTCTACGAGATGACCAAACTAAAGAATCAGTTCGAGGATCTGTTACACGATCATGGCCTTGTAGAACGAGAAGAAAAAKACGAGTCGGATGAAGACGAGATCGAAAAGGAAAAATTCAAGCGGCGTCAGTTAAAAAGAATGAAACGAGATCATCAAAAATCCACCCGACGTCGAAAGCTTTTAAAACTTGACCAAGATGAGGACGAGGAGGATGACACGGAGCCTGGTAAAGACATCCGAGACCTAGAATTCAAAATGACCCATGATTTGGACAAACTGCTGGAAGACAGCAGCGAAAGAAGACGTTTCACATTAAGAGATATCAACCTCCTGAAGATTATTTTATGTAGCGGGCTTTACCCAAATCTAGCGATACCTGACGAAACGAACTCGTTCAAGAGAGATTCGGAACAAACGTTCCATACCAAATGTAAGCAGTATCTGCTATTGCACCCAACGGGTGTCTTCGCTAACCAACCTGATATACTGCAACCACAAGAAGTACGTGACTTCCATCAGTCACATGATCAATCACGTGATATCTTTAGTGGCTCCCATCAACTTTTAGCATATGTTTCACTCTTAGAAACTAACAAACCTTATTTGGTCAACGCTATGCGAGTCCCAGGCCTCCAGACTTTGCTCTTGTTTGCTCGTAGTCTGGACACTAATGCTGATCTAACTCGTGTTGTCGCAGATGCGTGGTTGGAAGTTCATTTTGCTGACGTCAAGTCTGCCCAGGATGCGATATCCGCTGTCCTGCAATTAAGAATAACGTGGGCACGACTGCTRGAGCTTAGGCTCGAGGCGAATTCACAAACTAGGAAGACCGATAAGTTGACAGGCGTCGAACGAAACAAGTGTCGAGATCTCGAAACACTCTTGGCTCAGAAGCTGAGCGAGTTTTTGGACAGTAATATTCGATATTCCATCACAAGGTTACTTTCATCTGATGAAAAACATCTTTATGTCGGGCCGAATGACACAAGGAACATTAATGCTCAATTTAGTGAAGCACTCCCTTTYCAAAGTCCCTCAACGTCCGTTAACGTCCATCCCATCAAGGGGGGTATCCAGATCAATGAATACTTAACGTATAACTGCCTTCAAGATCAAATTATGGCGGAGGCTTCGTCAGATGCCGCTCAATTTATACAAAAACACTGGAAATGTGTAAAGTGTGGAGTCAAAATGGTGGTTAYTGTGTTAGAAAGATTGCAACACGAAAATGATTGTCATGGTAACGGCGAGTTTGAAGACTCAGCAGCTTCGACTGTTTCCTCTAGTTTCACCCCAGTCGAAGAATCTTCTCGATCCTCAGTAGATCATCTGAGAAAACCTTACTTTTGTGCTGAATGTTCTAAACAATATTCATTTACTAGTACTGAGATACTAAGGCACCGAAAAACACACCACTAGATGGTGATCAAATATGACAGCAAATAAGCCAATMCRGCATACAGTCAATTCAAAAAATGTKGTCGTCGACCAACTCAAGTCTACGCGACTGGACCGAAAGGAACTCTGGGTAGCAATCATTGAAGCYKAGTTGACYCYATAAWTTTATCTGACTAGTTATGCCTGGTTTACAGCACRAACCTTCGTAGGCGAGCGGGAARTGTTGAAGGAAACGTTTTTTAAATGCCTTCATACTTTCGGAATTGTGAACTGAATCATAACTACTTTGTTTTTCTTTYCCTAAACCCRAAGACATGCATTTGATGGATTGTTTCTCGCCATTATTATCTTATTTCTAGCGGGAACAATTAATTCAGAACGAATATTTAACCGCTTCAGTGATTTTTACCCATATTCCTTTCGGTCCAGTCGCGTAGGCTTGTTCCGGTCGACGACAACGTTTTTTGAATTGACTGTATTCTTTGAAATCCCAACAGCGCACTATTAAATACCGTTTGTTGAGTGTAGTAGCTAATCCTTAGCGCCAGATGGGCTGTCTAGTTCTAGATGATGCTATTTTTAACTGAAGATGYGTCCTGGAAAGGGAAGCAGTTTGAYTGACATCTGTTATCCTGATGCCGCAGTGTGGGGCCGGGTTAAAAATAGGCACCGCAATTTGGAGTCGTCCGRTATTAATTGTCAGATGTACACTAATTTCAAAGACGTTTCTTTGGAAATGACTAGAAATGACAGTAGCTTTTTATATAATAGCTAGTTTGATATTTAATAAAACTGTAGGGCGGATGTTTTTAATCCCCAAGTCTTAATGRGTTAGATTAATCTTACAAATTCATGAGGAAGGTTTACAATATGCGGAAAAGTCGAAATAAAAGTTACCAAGGCCTTCCCCACCCCCTTAGATGAAATAAATCATGAAATACTATGTTTTCCCATCTTTCTCAATTGCACATGAAAACCGAATATGCATTTACACAGTTTTGTTAGCCACTGGCCATTAAGTGCTACCCTCTTAAAATTCAGGACTTTTTTAAATATATGGCGTACCACAGGGAGCCAATAACGTTATCCTAGATCCTTTTGTTTAATTAAGAACAAAAGAAGGTTTAGACTAAAGGTGAGAAATTCGGGATAAAATCGCATGCGCAGTGGAATCGATTCTTAAACTATAAAAAGGCTTATTGATCATTGAGATAAGTGAAACCAYTTCTCCTGTCCGTAGGCCATCAAACCAAGAGTACTTTGAKTCATTTATCATGACCAGTCTCATTTCTCAGGCCTTACGTCTAGGTTTTTGTTCATAACACCTGTCCTKTTTTAATCAAACGACTGACTCGCGTTACCGTTAAATAGATGTTTGCATCAAGAGATTTTCGCTTAGTAACCAACACGTCTCGCTTCAATCGCGCCGGACTGATACCACTCAGTGATAACATATTCTGGCATCTTGTTTCTGTCCGTTTTCTTTGTTTTTCTTAATTGGTCTTTGCGTTTGTGTTTCTCACGTATTTTTAGGTTACCTTTGACGGGAATCCAGAAGAGAAATCTGATTTTAAAATTTCGTGTTAATGGTAACCATGGTTGCAAAATAGCTGTAAGCTGCACTTTAGCGTCGAGAACATCAACGTTTTTCTCTGGAGGGGAAAAATTTAAAGTGAAGCGTTAGAATMTATAATTATTGGATTCTGCTAAAACCTCCCAGAGTTAACTCACAATACCGGAAACATATTCGTAAACAATAAACCCGCACACTTTATTTGACTTTTTAGTTTTTTTTTTTTGTTGTTTTTTGTTTGTTTTTTTTGTTTGTTTTTGTTTTGGCTTTTCAAATTCATATTCAACTGAACGATTGTAAATGTAAAGTTTTTGTCTTTCCATTAAGTTTATCCGGCTATTCACAATGTTTTTAATTTGGCCTTGTTTAAGGTGGTCAAAGATTGGTTCCATACTCTATATTTACTGATATGACGTAGACTGATGGCTATCTCAGATGATCAGCGTTTGAGCGTCGATGTGTAAGTGACAGGYAGGTGCTTACTGTCGACTGATATTCATCTTAGACGTGCTAGAACACTAGAAAACGATTCGTTTTCTACCTTGACTATCTTTCTCATTCAGTGTGGTCAGTCTGTGTTGAGAAAATTTATCAAATCTGAAGTATTTAGAGGTCACTGAGTACGTTRTCTTTGTCACGTAGTAACAAATGGAAATTATTGGTTTTCTTTTTTGCATTTTCCAACCGTCACATCACCGACCGGATGCCAAGCTGTGTTGATGTGCTAACCGCTGACCTGTTTTCAGCAAGTACTGCTATTATTTTAAAGCCTCAAACATTTTTAATAGTGGAAATTATTTAATCTAATTCTATAATCCTAAAAGACATAAGTAGTACTAAGCAGAAGTCGACGTGGTAGATTCATGAACTCGAATCCAGACTGAGGATGTGGTTTGCCATAACGAGAAAAGACTCGCAAACAAGTAGCTGTTGAAATGATGTAAACAGCATTATCCACCGGACTGCTCAGGCAATACCAGGTCGCTGCCTTGCCTGGATGGTGCTGTGGTCTCATCATAAAATCACTGTTCGAATTATGCCTCGTTTTAAGAGCAGGAGTAGAAAGATACAGCCCTGTTCTGATAATGATGTTGATGCAGCCATGTTCTTCACCAAGCCAGTTATGAGGCCCAACTTGACTGTATTTGGGAAGACCAATGTGACAAATGACTCTTGTTTAAGTCATCCTGAACTCAAGTTGAACTCAAAGGAAACAAGTCCTATAAAGATTCTAAGTCGAATGGACGATCCAGAGGAAGTTTTTGAATTTTCTCCCTCTCCGAGCAGCTTAAGTCGTCACAGTGTGTCTTTGCCGATATGCAACACCGCGACCTTACATGTTACTAATGGAAGACTTTCCAGTTGTCGAAGTTCTGTGGACTTCTCTCGACTCCATACATTTCAGACCAATACAGCAAGTGGCAGCCTGATGGTAAAGCCGCGACAAGAAAGTGGAGACAAGTCTGGGGTTTTGCGCGGGGAAAAAATYTTCGAAAAATGCGATGTTTGGAGAAAATTGGAAACCAGGGCAAATGACAGTGATCAGAAGCCGTCAGCTGATAATACTATTGACAGGCAAAATATCGAAAAGTTGGTAACCCATTCTGAGGTCAACCCCTCTAGCAAAGATTTTGATATTTTAGAGTGGACAGCAAATCCAGAAAAAATTTATCGTTCTATCTTAAGTTTCAAGCAAAAAAGGCTATCTGATAATACGAGTTTGAGCATAGAAAATATAGCAAGTCAGCAACCGCTAGTCGTCCATGATTTGGAAGATTATCAACGTTCTTCTTTTTCTCCTGAGGTGCTAGTCTTTTCAACAGTAGAAAATAATCTTAAAGATGAATTAGAAAACATTCTAACGAATTCAAAGATTGACCTAAACTTTTGCTACAACTCTAAGAACCTCACGCCGCTCCATTTGGCAGCACAGCTTGGCTTTACTCAATGCGTTCAAGTTTTATTGAAATACGGTTCCAATGTAAACTGTTTAAACTCGGACAACCATTCACCTCTGTATATGGCATTCACTAGACAACAGTATGAATGTGCTATACTTTTAATAGAAGCAGGAGCAGATATCCAACAGTTTACCACTCAAAAGGTAAACGAATTTAAAACTGCTAGAAAGTTTTTTCGGACTTATAAGCGCACTTTTGTCACCGACGTCTGATGCTAAATCATATCGGAAGGTGATATCCAGTTTCATCAGCTCAACAATATTTTTATTCCATTTTTTATTTCCTTTCCTAGTATCTAACAATGACTGTTCTCGACTTAGTTTGTTATTTGTAAGCACATTGTTATTATCCGCATAGAACAAGTAGATGTTAGTATTGGTTAAAGGCGGTCAACACGAATGTAATTGCTTCCAAATCCTACACCAGAAAATAGTAATTTCTTCCAAATTAACATCTCAGATTTAAAGTTGCAATATGCTTCGTCCCTGTCTCTTATTAACCGCCTTCAATTTGACTGTTTGATTTTCTCGATACTTGAATCGGCTAACAAGCTCCATACAGTCGACAAAAGCTTGGTAATTTTCTGGTTTTTGGAAATTGGATTTGATAATGAACCTCTAATTTCCTTAGCAATACAAATTCAGGTCATTGATTCTCAGCTCTGTCGTGTATACAAGACAAGCCAACCTAACGATCAGGGTTTAACTACCAAGAGACAATTCACAAAATCTATCGTCCATTTAGAAAAATAGATCAATATAAATGATGTCAATGTGTAAGCCTTTCCCACAGATCGTTTGAAAAGACGGGATTTCTCAATAGTTTGGCAAGCTTCATTACGAACAATGAACCTTCGCATATTTAATAGCATGAATTCAGCCAATATACTTGAACAGCTGTAACTAAAGCAAATTATTATATTCGGTTATTCCAAATAGAAACAGACGTTCAATAACAAAAACTAGTTATAAATTTTCCTAGCGTTTTGGACAGTTTGATTACCTGGCCGCTCTAAAAGTGTGCGGCAGTCAGTTCTAGACGGATTAGTCTCGATAGATATCAGTCAGCCAGCGATAGGCATCAAACCAGATTCATGTACTAACAATTTCAATAGTTATTTATAATCTTCATGTGAATCATGTGAGTGCAAAGCTCTTATGCAAGCCATTTTTACGTTGAGCGGGAAGGAAATTAAATCTTTAAAAAAGAATTCAATCTCCACATCGTGTAGAGTTTTTTTTTGTTTTGGTTTCGTTGGATCCGATGATAGTCCGGCCAGGCTATGTTGTCTGACACTCCCCACTGACAAACTGAAAATACCCCGGACACCAAAAAGGGTTCTCCTGCTGAGGCAACTGTCSTCCAGTAGTCTACAGTTTACTGTCAGTCTTTTTGTTATCGAACTTCGTACACAAAAATACCGATTATGATTGCTCAAGTCTTAATCAAGTAACTGGTATCCAAACGAGCCGTCGGTGTATTTTTGTTCTTATTTTAACGTATTAAGACCGTAACCTATTCTGTATGCCGCGTTCAGCTTTAACCCTCCTAGTGTTGGTTGATCAGGTTGTCCACGAATAAAGCCAGGCAATTTTATTTCATTTTGTATATTTCGGCATTGGAACTCCAGAAAAGTAGCTATAGTTTGGAGCTGGCCAGAATTCAATCAAAAAGAAATAAGACAATGGTTTGAACCGATGAATCCTTTGTTTTGCAACCTTGTTTCAAAAGTGTTGCAGTTTCCTCTTGCCGATAACAATACGACAACATTATATAGAACTGATCAGTTTAGTCATTTCGTGAAAGCAGGTGTTAACATTTCAACTTTATGATAAATGCATACTTTTCTTTAGTCTTTAGTAAAAAACAAGACAAAGTTAACTACTTGAACTGAGATCGAATTCAAATGAGGCAGCCCTTTATCTCAGACTGACATGGCTTCCCGTTGGGCCTTACTTAGTTTTAATGGATTGAGATTTCCTATATTATATAGATTTCAATTCGTAATACTCCAGAATTGCCGCAAATCTCTCATTCAACATGCAGACTTATCCTTCTCTTTCTCGTTTGCTTTTCTCTTCTTCCGTTCTATTACGGTCTTTAATTTATTTATTTAATTAATYTTTTTTATTTCCCTTGACTGTATGAATCCAGCGGGGTTGATCAACATTAGTAACAATAACACCCTTAGAAACAGCTGATCATGCAGCGAACAGCAGCAGTCGAGATGGCATATTTGATTTCTATATTTAGCTGCACTTTTGTCACGTCACTTTTGTTCAAATTCAAATGAACAACCCGCTCGGCTCTTATAGAAGAGGATTCAGTTCTAGTGACCTTGCGGCAAGCTTGCGGTAATGCTTACATGAATGAACTAATTGCTGTCAAAAGATAATGGTTCAAAGGATTTCATGTCATGTACTTGAATCTAATAGGTTTCGTTTTATCCATCCGCGCATGTCGTTTGTCTCGAGGCCTCTCCTGAAGGATTGCAGGCGGCACTCGCTCTAAAAACCCCGTTAATTAGCCGATTCGGATTTTTAGCACTCTACTCGTTGAAAAACAACGATGTAGCCTGAAATATTAGTCCTGTGTTCCTCAAACCACATTTTCATGGCAGGCGATGATACGAAGACCGAAAGTGGTTCTGGGTAAAACGGTTTTATTACTATCTTATTTGATCTAAATATAGAATCTTCAAATAAATACCTTAAAACCTTATATTATTATAATATATWATATAAACATACGTATATAAATTATTGAAACACTATATAAATATATATTATACACCGTTCTCATAATGGCTGTGTTCMCAATAAAAGATACAAAAGCACATGAAGTACRTTTATTCTGTTTGGACCTGAATTCGCGCTATCCACCTTTATCTTGACGGGGTGACTTTGTGTTGGTGCGCTCGTCAGCCATTATGAAAACATTATGAGCAATGATCTATCCGTGGCTATAGTAGGGTTAGTCGGGCATTTCTCACAAAGAAAGGCACCGGTTATAAATTAGACCGGGGGGGGGGGGGCTGGTGCAAATGGAGATAAAGTCTTTTTTTTAATGAAAACTTTAAACATCAAGGGTCACAAAAATTTTTGCAAACATTTGATAGGGTCAACAATAGTTGTGCAGCAGGAAAGGGCCTTTCAAAAACATGCAGGCAGATCAAAAGTATAATGCACCAGCCCCACCCCTCCCTCCACCCGTAATTAATGACCGGTTGCTTAGCGATTTGTCCTAGGAAAAACTAGCAGGTTTTCACTCCGACGATGACACACAAAGTAAAACTGGTCAATACTTGAAATGAAAAGGCATAAACAGGGAAATCACATGCCCAATAAGCCTGAAGCGAGATGACGTTTTACCCCCGTCTCTAGACCATAATCCTTTTCACACTGCTTTTGTTTTTTAATTATGACTATTGTTCCTGTATTCCTAAATTTTAATATGAAAGAATTTTAAAAACTATTATGGTATAGAGTCGGGGGTAAAACGTCATCTCGTTTCAGCCATATTTGAGATGCGTTTCATTTCATTTTTCTTTTCTTTTTTATACCTCCAATCTATTATAACTACAAGTCTCTCTCTCTCTMTMTMTATATATATATAATTCACAGAAAACAGTTAGGAGAAATGGCAAAATATAGTAAACTAATTAGATTAAGAAAGCTGTGAAATCCAGAAGTAGAAAATATGATTTAGGGTTGGAGAATAAATCTATGATAATTTCATACCGTCAATGACGGGCCAGAAGACGTGTATTTGACTATATCTTCTAGAAGTTAAAAGGAAGACTGGTAACGAGCTCTTTCAGACGGACATAGAGCTTTTTATTTCAATCCCACAATGCATTGCAACACGATGTCGTTACCAGTCTTTCTTGGAACAAGTCACGTGATTCAGTGGTTAAAGAGGAGTGTTCAGTACAGACCTCATATACTCACTAGACATGTTCCTTATCATGGATATCTCCCCAATACGAGCTCTAGTATATGCACCCATGTCTGTTCCACATTCAATAAAAAAGATAGCACACTTATAATGACACCTTCGTAACGCGGAATGCACAGGCGCAAATCCATCTTGGTCTGTCAAGTTGACTTTAGCTCCATACTGTATTAAAGTATGTATGCTTTCAAGGTCACCCGAAGCAGCTGCTTTGTGCAGAAGGGATTTTCCACTSGGGCTGAGCTGGTTCACGTCGAGACGGTCCTTTTCGATCACATCACGAATTTCTGAAGCCGAACTTTCACCAACTGCACTTAAAAGCATCGCAGAGGGCGAGAATGAAATCTTTCTTGCGCGACTTTCAGATTCAACAGAACCTTTTTCTCGTCTGGGGCTTAGTGATTTTAACGAGTTGGCCCCCTCGATTCCTCCGAAGAAATGCTTTCTCAGTCTAAGAATGACTTTGACAAGTATTGGGACTGCTTTATGTTCCCCTTTCTGGAGCCTTGCACCAAAAATATCCATCTCACCTTCCTCTTCATCCAGAAAATATTTCTTTAAYGGCTTACTTGTCTTTTTCATTACTCCAGTCTTTTCTCCAGCTTCCAAAACATAACTCGAGATGGACTTGAGTTCCTCGCGGAAATCTTGCTCGGTGGCGATACCTGTCTGACATTCACAATAATCACTTTCACATCCGAAAAATGAGTCGCTCAGATCACTTGTTCCGACACTTGATGTAGGAGATGCGATTGGATGCCGGTTCAATAAATACTCGTTGAGACGAATAGTCGAGGAATAGTTTTCGAATGGTATCCGAGTTGGTCCGGGAAAACATTCACTTAACCTGGTGTTAAGGATCTCGTGGTCTTGTAAACGTAAAGGAGGCATCGTTAGATCTGTGAACGCACCTCTATCTTCAACATAAGATGATTCAGAGTAATCGCTGCCTCCGAGGTAAGAAACAGTTGATGACCCACTGGAATGGCTTCCCACAGAGTGATGCGCACTTCGAGGCGAAAGGTACACGTCCTCTTGTCTCTCGCCTCGCGCAGGCSTTTGGTTAGATAGTACTGGATCCGCTAGCCTTCCCTTTGGTGAARAGCAAAGGCTGCTTGTGTTAGAATATGGTTGCAAGATGACAGGTGTACTGGGTTCACTACTGTATGGAGACTCATAATAATGATCCTTCCACGCATCACGGGGGGAGTCTGTATTCGACTCAATATATCCACTATCAGTAGGTGACATGACAGCAAGTAATAATGGACGGTTTATTGCAGCCATTTCCTCCTTCAAATTACCTATTTCACCAGGATCTATCAGTTCCTTCAGTTTTTCTTCCAGGTTTTCTTTAGCGGGTTTCTGGCAAGGCATGTAATTGCGTGCAGCAAATTTGGGTTTAGGTGTTTTGTTTCTTTGCTTCTTTCGTTGTGGTCGAGTAGTCCTGAGGTTGCTACCAAGAACTGTGTCACAATCCATAGTAAGAGATTCTTCACTAGATGTCAAGGGCAACTCTACTGAACGCACTCGCACCTTTCTTAATGCTGTCTTATTGCTTGCACAACGATGTCTGGTGTTTTTATGGAGTGTATTGTTTTGATGATCATTAACATTAAAACAATCGACCGCAATCTCTTTGAGGGTACTTGTGTTGTGCTTTGTATTGTAGTTTACTAAGCCACTGTTAGCCGTTGTATTGTTGCTAAGCAGACATAAATCATCGCTACCATTTCCAGGACAATAAACATCTTTACACCTTGATATTCTGTCTTTTCGTTCTATTTGCATTTGTATTTTCTCGCCTTCTTCATCACGTTCAGTGTCCATGGTTCTGTGAACTGTATTTGTGATCTCCTCAACTTCTTTCTCACTCAATACATCATCAAATAAAGGCATATTTCCTTTAGTAGCCCTTCTGTTTATTACTGATTCGCACTGAGTTCTACTTTCTTTTGGCTCATTAATCAGACTTTCGGCATTCTTTAATTGCTTCTCAGCAGAATGAGAATTACATGTGTATGACTTGACAAAGTTATGATTGAGCACATCGTGTTTAGATAAACCTGGGTCAATCCTAATCGGTGTGTCATCATCACAAAAATCATAGTTACAATTCAACCTGTCAGGGTCATTATCATTCCTTTGGTAAGTCACCTCATCAACCCCAACATCTTCGTAGCAGACGTTTTCACTTGCCGGTAACACTGTACTTCTTACAACATAACGAGGGATTATTGACTTGTTTTCTTCCACTGAAGCAAAATCTTGGCTCATATTTATGTTACCAGAGTCTCTCCTTTCTTGTGTAATGTCTTTTTCATGATTGCTTTCAAAATGAAACACACGAGGTTGGAATGGTAAAGGTTTAGTTGTGTGTTCATGTTCCTGTGGACTTACCCCAGCAACACTAATAGTGTATCCGTACCTTAATGTGCCACAGGATGAAGTCTCCAACTTTTCCATGTCTTTTACCAGATTTTCCATGCTTTGTTGCTCAGATGGTTCCTCCACCATTACTTGTTTATTGTCCACCTTCAGCTCGTCGTTTCCGGATACTTTTACGTTGATAATGTCATCACTTGACCATTCATTTCTTTTGACAGAGCTAGAATCACTTGTTGATTCTATATGTTCAGATTCAATTATATCAGTACCCTGCTTCATAAAGTTTCCAGACGGAATGACGCTCACAGATATTGCCCTATGAGTCGTGAAAGGTGTCGTATGAGACTTATTGATTTCAAGAGGTTCTTCATCCTCATCAGCATTCATAATCTTATTATGTTTGTCGGCAGAACACAAGGCTGGAAGGCTAGTGGTCGGTTCAAGTGTTCCATCCAAAGTTTGTTTTAGTCTTTGTGCCTCATTTAAGTGAGAGTCTTTGTCATTCCCGACAGGGATGATGAGAAAAGAAGTGTTACGTTCAACAATACCATCGTCCCAACCACTCATCAAGTCTTCGTCGACCGTCGGGTTTCGCGTATGGTTGTAATAAGGTTCACGAGGTCCTGACAAAACCTTGATGTCAACATTCGGTACAGAATTATTATTATCGACACTAAGAGCAAAACTTAAGTCATCGCAATCCATGGGCATTCGTTTCTCTAATTTACGCTCAAGACCTTCGACCCTTTGTGTTAAGTATTGAAGCCGGTTGACGATAGCCATGTCATAATCCCTGAACGTCCTGTCGGAACTTGTTCGTTCAGAACAATCAGAATCGTTACACAATGCCAACTCAATATTCCCTGGGTTTCTGGATGTCGTCATCTCACAAGATCTTTGGTGTGAACCATGCAAGAACACGATGAACGACCGTCAACTAACTCCAGTGTTAATGTGATGTTATGCGACGGCGGTGAATAATGTTACGGCTTGATGACGCGGTGTGCATCTCCTGGGAGTTCAAACAAACAAACTAAAGCCAAACAGTCATCATACCCAAACCAACGATGACTCGACTTAACTTGTCATCACTTTAACTAACAGTATTTCAACATAACAGCCATAATAACAAACTATAAAATAAAGGGTCATCTTCAAAAATTCTTTCACAAGAAATTCATAGTCAAGTATTGCATGTATCGGGTTCCTTGGGCGCTGATATTAAAATACCGAACATCAAATCTTAAAACCCATTGTTTTTAGCTGATCTTATTGGGTATTCCAATTAGCGCTGCTTAAAACTATATTAACTATGATTTTTTATTGGACATCGCTCGTGATCACCGCGACGTTCATTGGATCAGAAAAGCTTCTCTTGTTGTCACAGTCTGTACAGTAGGAAAGACAGAAGATTTTTGGCAAACTAAAAAAGGTAGTTGAGTGGTTTTGGTGTACAATATAGGGAGTAATAGTATTGACACTAGAATTTGAATATTTGGTACAAAGTTAGACAACATCACAGTAGCAAATCAATCTCATTGTAAACATAAGTCTACAATTGTTTGTTTTTAAGAACCGAAAAAATGATCTATTTGGAGAAATTACGAAAAGAGTTTTCCATACTTCCTCAGTGTCGATGCTGAAAACGAGATCTTGATCATTTAGCTCTTGAAATAATTGATTTTGCCCTTCTGCTAGCTATCTTATCTTGAAGGTCACTCAAAGATTATATCAAACATTTTTGGAAAGAAAAGTAAACGTAATCGATCAAAGCAAAGTAGCCCATAATTGCTGTCATTTTCTGGTGTCAACGAGTGGCCACTAACAAGAATAACATAGTATTGCAAACGAACACTATGTTCTTCAAAAGAAACAGATGAAAGTTGGCAGTTTGATCAGTTAACCTAAGCCAGCGCTTAAGAGTGATAATTCATATTTCTTTCTGACAAGTTCTAAATCTATTACTTGACAGCCCAGACGCTGCGGTTTAATTGCTATCTTGCATTCCTTTTTTAGTTGACAATTGTTGTCTAGAATGTCTTAACAGAGAAAATACAAAAGACAGACTAACTGAACTTTGTAACTATAACTTTAATGGTTATTTCCGTATCGTGATATGCTGACGTTCGTCTCTTTCCGTTAGTCTGGTCGAGAATTAGAGTTTTGGAGACAAAAATAAAACAGATATTCAGTGATTAACTCTAGGTGACCGTGCATTCCTGTACAGGATGATGCCTAGGTCGGAAAGTATGGAAAAAAACATCCCTGCGATTTAAAATTCCTCAATCATATGCGACGCACAACGGCACCGGTGCCAATTTTGTTTAGACACCGGCCACACGTATACATTTTCATTCATAAACGCATACTTTTGTAAGCCAATCATGTCCATGCATCCGCGCGTAAAGGTCATCCATTTACGAATCGTTTTCAGCCGTCCGCACGTATTCACACCTGTATTCACTTTGAAGAGGGTTTTCAAACTCAGTGAGTATGCGTTTGTTACGGTGAGCGTTTTTATCGTTTACTTGTGGACGGAACGAGGTGGGGGAAGGTGTAAACGCCTCAAAAGGTATGCGGGTATGCGTTTATGAATAAAAACGACGTATGGTGTGGACGGGGTCTTACTAGTAAAACCAGGGATTTGCCGGTTAAGTACCAGGTATATGTCTCTCTGTTACCTGGTTTTTCCTTTCTGTCAAAAACTGCGTAGCCATCCCTAGAAATAAAAAGTTATTTGAGAACCAGTCCCTCTACGTTAAACCCAGACGGAGGAGAATTTCCGGGAATCTGGTACCTAGTACAGAAAGAGAAAACAAAGATGGCTGATGCAGTTCCACTTCTTGACGAGCTGATTAAAGAATACTTGCTGTTTCGTGGCTTTACCGCCACTTTAAAAACATTCGAGAATGAAATCAAAGCGGACAAGGACAAGAGCTTTAGGGTGAGTGTTTGTCTTGTGTTCTTAGGCCATTTGTTGGAGATTCGTGATGATGTTTTTGTTCATGTTTGGCGACTTTGACATTTCGTGCTGATGTTGTTGACCTGGAAGTTGCTGCATGCTATGCTCTAGAAACTAAAACCCTTTCTTTTTACGCATATTGAGAATGATGATAAAGTCTTCACTGATTACAATATTCATTGTTTACATTAGCTAGTTATTCTAGGGAGCTATTTCGAAGGTTAATTAATTTGGTCTCAGGTTTCGTGAAAAAAAATTTTTTTTTTTGAGCTTTGATCGATAACACGCTGTTCGCTATGTATTAAGCAATAATTATTACTTATGATCTTTAGGACAATGGTTTCATTGATTCCATGATAGTTATATAATCTGCATTATTTTATAAACTATCTTCAATAAATATAGATGATGATAATGTTACTGACTATTTGATTGACAGATATCTGCTATTAGTACATCTTGTCTTAGTTTGCTTTCTTCTTGCAATGTTACAGCCATTTACATGCAGAGAAATAAGTCGCATCTTATGTAAGACGAGTGTTACATAAGACACGAATGGACTGTATATTAAAAGTGGTACAAAATTCATGTTCGTGTCTTATATTTGAATAAGAAGCAAACTTCTTATTTTAAAAGCAGGGTTATGAGCTGTTCTAAGTTAAGACATGCCTTAAATAAGATGTGAACATGTTCTTGTAAATGGCACTCGTATCTTAGCCAAGAGATAAATGCCATGTTTGCATGTGCAAGTTCACACAGGAAGCCCACACAGACAGGAATAAGTATCCACAAATCAGCCCAAATACCTTACAAACTTTTCAGACATTATCTTCATGTCTTAAGCTAGACACACTTGTAAAAAAGGATCAGTTTTTGTCTTATTTAGGACAAGTCTTAAAATGCATCCTATTTTACCCCTGTATGAATGGCCATATTTTGTTCCTGGACTCAAAATAATATGGAAGATTATAAGAGAACAAGGCTCATTTCTTTTCTTCTGATTTCATTCTCAAGGTCACCAAGATTATGGATCAACTTCTAGTATATGTGTCATCATATGATATATCATCGTTAAGGGATTACTGGGAACATCTGGACAAGAAATTCTTTAAAAGGCTAGATTACCAGCATTATAGTAATGTGCGCAAACTAGAAACATGTTTGCTGAGATTGTACATTGTACATGCCTTGCAAAACTCCAAACAAGAAAAAGTGGTTGAATTTTTTGAGAAATACACCATTGAACTCCAGCCTCAGAGTGAATGGAGAGAATGGTTTGGTAGGTATACTTCAATGATTAGACCCCTAGCTTGGGCTACTGTTTTTCCATTTCAGGTCACATGAAATGTGACACATGTATACACATGGCTTCTCATGTACAACTATTAAACAAAAATAATAATAGACATGATAGTCTAGGAAGTAACACGCTAAGTTAATATTACGCTAAAGAGGCATATTGTTTAATATAGCAATGTCATCTCTTTTACCTAAAATAAATTGCAGTCCTATTCCAAAGGAAGCAAAAATATGGAACCACAAACTTAAAGGTTTCTATCTTTTTTATCAGCTGATAAAAGTATGTGATTGCCTGTCTGTTTGTTTTAGCTATTCCATTTATCAAGAATCCAGAGCAAAACTCTACTTTTGAGATGTACTTCCAGAAATCATGGCAGGAGACTTTTTACTTGTCACTTCACAACTTCCTCATTACTCTCTTCCATCATTTGCATATCCTTTTACAAACACTGCATTTAATGTAACTTTGTTTTAGGGGGGTTCAAATTAAGGTTATAAAATAGTTTAAAAGAATTGGGGATAGATTGAGCCACAGTCTTTTGCTATAGGGGCAGCTAGGCTCACTTGCTTTGGGGACAATAATAGGGTAGTAAGTAGATATGTTGTCACCCAGCACAGAATAATAGATTATTGTTTGACCTTAACCTTGTGTACCAATGCCAACACTTCTAAAATTTGACAAGGAAAGAGGAATCCAGCAAAAACTAGAGGATCAAGTCTCAAAGTTTAAAGAACAAGTAGTAAATTTAGCAGGCCAAATAGCTGATCTCCAGCGTGAAAATTCTAAACTTTCATTGGAACTTGAAGAGAAGATGAAAGGACAATCAAGTAGTGGCATAGCTCATGATGAGGACATGGATGAGTTCCTTGTCGTTCCTAAGTAAGTCAACTAACAATTAATGAATTTTATGTCTGTTTTTATGTCTGTTTTTATCTCTGTCACAAACTATAATATTCAGTATTGATGATATCTTTTCTGGTGTGAGATGAAAAATGCATTCCTTTCCCTTCTATTACTAACCTTTTTTTGATATTATGCAATTTCAGCTGATTTAATAGATCTGCAAGTTGTAAAATGTTTTGCAATTATGTTTTAATGGTTTTTTTTTTTTTTTTGCAATCAAACTCTGAGAGCAGCTGAGAAAACTATGGTTTGAATGATTAATGGCAGTAAACTAAGTTCATCCATACTGTGTTATTCATTACTAATTATGTTAATAGACCTGGTCCCAAGTCAGTGTTTCAGACACTCTCTGCTGGATTTGGCAAGAAAACAAAGGAAAAGGAAAGAGAAAAATCTTTGAAAAAAAACAAAGTACTTAGACAACAAGAAATAAGCAACCAAACCAAACTGGCTCAACCAAAACAACAACTAAAACAACAGCAAGAAGTGGTAAATGAAAGTAGTTTTGGTTTTATTTATTGCTTTTTACAGGAATAAAGGGAGGAGCCATGGTAGAGAATGTGCCTCTTGTGATATCAGGTTCAATTCCTGGACTGAGTATTACATTTAAGAGAGTTGTTCTAGTCTTTCACAAACACTTGAATCAGTGTTTTTCTCTGGATTCTAAAGCTTCTCTCCTTTCAACAAAACAGGTCTAACACTGCCAAAGTCTGATTTCAGTCTGTGAGTTAGCAATGCCCTGACTTAGTCCAGCCCAGAGGTTCAGTCTGAATTGGATGAAATTGAAGATATGTCATCAGACAGACCATCTTGAATTGGACCCTAATCAATTAATTTCCTCATTTCTTTATTTGTAGCAAGAAAAGTTATATAACACAATAGGTTCTAACAATGCATCAACACCAAGCCAAAGTATTCCCAAAGAAAGTGAAGATACTTGTAAAACTGGGACTAACAGTCAACACTCACCAATTGGTAAATCATTGAGCTTGGACTCAGAGATAGAACAAAAGACATACAGTATAAAAGATGATATTGATGCAGCACCTCTCAAAAGAGCTAGCACAATGCCTGGAGCATCAGCAAATAAGACTCTCCCAAGAGAAACTATAGTTACAGGTACCCTAATATTGATTCTCTCTCTCTCTCT